AAAACATCGCATTGTCGTTGGTAAGGTATTTGTTCCCAAGTTCCTAGATAATATTCTAAACCGTTTTTGGAGCGGATCCTTCCTTGCGGAAGAGATCAGCCAAATTTCGTCTTTAGAAATCCGTATTTAAGTTTGTTATTACATGCTATGTTTCTTAAATAATACAAATCAAAATAAAATAGATGTCAAGTTATTGAGAGAGAACAAGATAGATGATTTTAAAATTACTGCAACATATGGAGTAGAAGTTTTGGTACTGTAACTGAAATGTCTCATTGGTACTCTTATTACACCCGGAAAATACTACAAACATTTACCGTATTTGTAATCAATGTAGATGAAGCCGTATGTTTGCAAAACTCGACACATGTATGTACCTGTTTGAATCGCAACTGAGTTTCCTTCGTAAAAACATATTACGTAACGACACACACGTAACTGCTAGGGTCCTTGTTTACAATTCACGTCATTCGGCTCTATAGAGACGTAAAGAATTTCCTGCTAATAGTTGCGTACGTGTACAGCACGTATGCGCGTGTTTACACGTCTCTTGCATGGGTTTGCCATTCCCCATACAATTCTCAATATTGAAATTCGTGTAATTTTGAAAAAACAAAATCCAGCAAAATAGCTTCTATGTCACCTTATACTGTGCCTTCAGAATTATCCGCACGAAAAGAATAAAGCTTTCGTACTGATTTGAAACTTTTATTTATTTTTTATGTTTTTTACTTAAACTAAACGAAAATATATTGCAATAATAATTTTGTCATATTTGGAGCGGTTTGGAAGTTGTATTGATTTGTTAAAAAATGAGAAGAAGAAAATATCCTATGTAGGAGGCGCATACCATCATTATTAGTACAGAATCTATTTTCTTTTAAACAATAAAGCATGGATAATTGGTTTTGAAAATTTAGAGACTAATGGCTGTTTGGGGGAATTTGGCGTTGGGCAACTAAATGGTATCAAGACGACAGCCACGTATATCATAATCACTGTAGTACTGGGACAAAAGCATACTTACAAATTCATCACTAAAATATATATTAAATAAATAGTGGCAAACAACCTCAGCTGCAGAACACCCAAGAGGGAGAGAGAAAAAAGAAAAAGGAGGTGAATGAGGAGAAGGAGGAAGAGGTCAAAATGTGAAAGGAAGAGTGATAAAGAAAAAGGCAGAGAAAGAAAAGGGGTAAAAGAAGGCAAATTGGGCATGAGAAACATTAAAAGAAAATTTGGCGATGGTGAACTCCCAGCACGAAAAAAGACTCCGTGCCGTAGATACACGACACAAGATGAGTTTTAGTACGTTGCTCAGCGTAATGAAATGAGTACAGGACCAAACTTTCAGCTTCACAATAACTTCTGCCGTGAATGTTACACTGCTCTGAGCCACTCATTTGGCGCATCCCTCCCACAACTCCCAGGACGTCGAAAGAAACCCAGGGCGCGGGGGCGGTCACGTATCCCTATCTCCCTGCGGCAGTGCAGGCCTCCGCCTCCGACGAGTGGGCGGAGGGAGGGGGGGTACCACCGTATCGGAAATCGCGGCGACGCGGCGCCCCCGGGGCACCGTAAATTCAGCCTGAGGGGGCGGGGAGGGGGCGGTTGACGGAAGGTTATCGCGTCCCCATCGCCTCTCGCAGTCGCAGGCCGCACTGCTCCGCGCCGGCGCGGCGCGGCGAGGGCGCCACGTCCTCTCGCGACCACGCCCCCTTCCTCAAGCTCTTTATCCCCGGCGCACGCGCTGCTTAATGCAAATGGCATGCAAATTGTCGCGGCTCCGCTTATCGCCGCTCAAATAGACCGCAAGACAGTGAGCGATCGAGGGCGGCTGCACAGTTGCCCCTCCCCCCTCCCGCGCCCTCTCTGCCTCCGCCCCGCCTCCGCCGTCCGCGCCAGGGAATTCAATTTCGGCGCGTTAATTTGTGTGGAGGAGCCGCCCTGCGATAGATGGGCGGCGACGGACGCAAATTTCGTTAAAAACCCGGAGGCGAGGTCGGCGCGAGTCGCGGGGCGGCCGGGGACAGGGGCTGTCACTTCGCTTCTTCCTAACGGACAAGATTTTGCTGCGAGGATTGCGCGAGACTCTTGCTCCGGTTGCCGCTGCAGCTGGAAGATTTCTCGGATTCGTTCTCGGCTGCTTTAAAGCATGGAGCTGAGGATTTCGGAATGGAATGAAGTTGTGATTTCCACACACTCTCTGAAATATCAACCAATGAACCAAATTATAGATATCGTGGATTTCTATAATATCTAACTTATGGTTCAAATGTCAAGTCAGCAACTGGAAAAAAGTGACAACTGCCAAGATTATTTTTGAGCAAATTTTCTTTTGTCAACATTTTCATGATATTTTTCTGATCTCTTTATCATTTCCGTAGCGTTCAACATCACATTTCAATAAGTTTCAGAAAATCAGTCTAGAAGTTAAGTCTCACTAAGCTAAATCGATAATATCAGAATTTCGTACATAAGTTCCATAGAATATATTTTTTTATTTAGGGGGTTTTTCATTACAAATTTTGAAAACATTACATGCTACTACATGGCTAAACTAGCGCATCCCCTGAATCGCTTTAACAGAGAACTGTCACCCTGTGATTGTAAACACGCTGTTTAGTACTGATAGTAGAACTGTTAATAAAAATGTAATACTACTTACATGTTAAGTCTCTTTATTGTGAAAATTTGGAAAATACTATTATTTCTCCCTACAATAAATTACTTACCTATAATTCAGTTATCAAGACTCTTTGGACAGATGCAAAATAACTTAGAGAAAATTGCGAGCAACTTCAATCTCAACTTTCTACAAAGATTTCTATTAATGTATCTTCAAAAGCGACATGGTATTTCAGCAGTGATACATTTTACACGGACCTGAAAATTCCTAACATTAAAAAATTAATCAAACCATTTGCCAGTCGACATCTATACCGACTTCAGAATCAATGAAATTACCTTGCAATAACATATTTGAGAATGGAGAGGAAAATTGAAAACATTAAAATTTCGTAGATTCAGTAAGTTTAGTTAAAATATGAGCATGTTCTAATAAGTAATTCTTCTATCCCTTTTCAATGCTTGTAAAGAATTTTTAACTTGCTGAGGAGGATCACGACTAAATCATTTCTCCGCTTACTGTAAGTTCCTTTAAAACTATGATATAATTTACCGACTATTCTATAAACAAAATGTATTACAAATGTACAGCGTTTGTGCATAAATAAAAAATTTAGTCTGGGACTCTCATGCTTGGAGAGGAAAGCAGTCAACAATCGAAAGTTGTCAACGGAAACTAGTCTCTCCAGGGAGAAATGGCACCCGATAAATGTAAATACACATTCAGATTATAAGGATAAGTAAGTGTAAATTTGCATGTACCGCGACATATTTGCACAACAGCATCTAATTAAAAATTTTGTATCTACTAATAACCTACGTGTGCAAAAATGCTGCTCAACAAAACCACACAAAATGGTTTTCTATAAAGTGTCACCCACATTGATTAAGAACCAAAACAAAGTATTCGTGTATAACATTGGAATAAGTTAAATATTGTAGCAAATAAGTTCTTCATGAATACTGCGATACGCATGACATAATTCAGTATTTGCGGGTTAAAGGGTAAAATAAATCTTTATATACAAAAAAAAATTGATGTTCCTTACTTCAAAAAAGGAATAGAAAAGACAAATAGACTTATTTTCTGGCACTCTCCTCCTTGCTGCCCCAATGACGACGCTGTCGTAAGCATTGACAGCATTACGATGCTGTCGTAAGAATGCATTAAGTATGAGAATTCAATTGATTAGCGTAGTATGAGAATAGGCGAAATATCTCAATCAAAAATGTGGATTTTTCTGTCAAAATCAAAACTGTTTCGTTGTTTTGGTATTTTTCCAGTGTTGCTGGGTATCTATCAAAACCACAGACACCTCTCACGTGGTAGGTGGCTGCATATTTTACTTTCACGCTACCGCTTACGAGTTACGTAATGCTGAAAAAAAAGGACGAATTTTCGGTAGAAAAACTACTGCCGGGCCCTGATAGCGAAAAAGAGGATAAATTTTGTCACTAAATTTAGAAAAAAATCCTCTAACACGTGGTACAGCCAGAATCCGTTTTGTGGGTCCTTGATACCGAAAAATCGATTGACAACAAAATGTCTTTCCGTCCGTCCATCCGCCTGTCTGTGAACAACTCTAGCGGCTAAACTATTCTCCCGATTTTCTCCAAAAAATGATATTCCCCAATCGATCTGGCTGATGTCGCGGCTTTGTGACCTTTCGCCTCTAAACCCAAATCCTGAAATACGTAGTTGGGGGAAACCCCGCTAGCCGACAGTAGGTCGGCACCGGATCTCGTTATTCAGCGGGGGAAGATAACCGCCACCTCCCGAGGTGAAAACATGCACTACAGTGCACTACAATTTAGTGCAATTACAGTTAGTTCACACAGAAAAATTGATCAGGATAGTACAAAATGTGTGGGTCTTATTTATTGTTTGCTTCCTCCTGAAAAATTGTAAAAGATGGCTTCATTACACTTTTGGGAGTGATGACCAAAGCTGTTGACGTATCCGGAAACAATAATCGATCAGTGAGAAGACTTGGTAGTACCGCTAATGTGAAGAGATTTTTTTTTGATACTCATCTGCGTACTAATGTCGACATTTTTAAGGTCACATTCTTCTGGCCAATTTTCCTCTCCCGCGATATTATTTCATTTCCTCTCCTTCAACAAATAAGCGTTTAAGTACATAGAAAGTAAGTACGCTTTGCGTGCATCGATGACGAACAGCAGTTGCGATCAATGCCTAATCGCGTGGTCTGCTCCCTCAAGTACACACGCCATCGCGAACCTTGGTGTGATCACGTCCTGCGTTCTGGAACACCTGAATGTGGGTACATGACGGTGCGTATGTTTGAACAGGTGAAAACCCCACGATTCGGAGACCAATATAAGAGGGCTTTTTTGCGGCCTCCATCATTCGCTTGAGATAATCTCCCTGCGCGTTATCCGTCAACATGGTTCGCTGTCTCGTCGTTGTGGTTGCCTTCCTGGCGTTGCAGGTGCGTACGTGATAACTTATTTATTTATTTGCATAAAAAATGTATAAAATATTTGGTTTGAAAGAAAACCTTCACTAATCGCCTAAAAATAAACTATCCCTGCATTTTATTTTTCTATCAAATAAAACAACTAAACATTGTAACTGGAAAGGGTAATACATGTACGAAAATTGATCAGTTACTCTTGAAGTTATGTTATTTGTCTGGCTTCCGGTTGGTTCCTTAAGTTCACTAATTGCTACAAATTTTATTATCGCAATAATTTAAATTATTGCAATCAAAAATTAATAAAAACTTGTAATAAATATTTTATTAAAATTTTTCATTTTAGTTTTTCGAATTGGTATAAAGTGTAGAAATGAGTTATGGTATAGGAAAGACCCTTGACTTCGATCGTTGTCAATTTTGCTTCCCCGTTTACTACAAAGTACGTATCACGATGGGAAAGTGATTGCAAATGGATTATGTGTTTGAGAAGTGATTGCAAAGTACGTGTTTCCACTTGAACGCACGAAATTTCCAACATTGTATCGAGACATACGATACATTCTGCAGTAAATGTTTGACACTGAATTCTGTGCTATATATTATAGTATTTTTCCTTTGCACATGCAAAATTACATTTCAATTCACCAGTACCCTCTACTCCAATTCGTGAAGTCTTCCACGTTTTCTGGCTTCTTTTATAATATGGTCATTTACCGTACAATAAACTAACTGCTTCTTTAAAGAATACATTCATATTCATTCAGAAAACATCGTGGTTCTCTTGTGGTAGTAGGGTATTATGCGTCCATAGTAAATTCTAAGTGTTCCTTGAATCCAGGAAGAACTGTCAGATAATTTTCTTTTGACCGACACACTTTGGGACGAAATGTCTAAAATCTGGTCAAAATTCGGAAAAAAAGTTTATAGTCGAGAATTTTAAACTCTCAAGTAGGGTAGGTAGGTAGGTGTGGCACACTATTGTGGGGACTATTAAATCCCGTACGTAAATACGGATACAAGTAAAAACTGTATTTGAGGTTGAACATATTGTGTTTACACTACCCAAGCCGTACGGAAATTTTAGAGCAGATTTTTATTCTTTGAAAATAATCATTCAAATTTTAAAATGGGACATGTTACAGAAGGTGTGTTCTTAAGTATAAGTCCTTAATTGTTTTTTCATGTTAAACATGTTTTTTAAATGAATGTTCGTGCCGGCAAATGAGAAAATTTATTTAATAACTGAATGAAAAAGTAGAGATAATTTACAAATTCCACAATATACCACTTTCATTCAAATTTATTGATGATATTTATACAATTTACATAACGACCAATCTATTAAATCGTGCGAATAGGCACGAATCCGATAATGAGTTATGTTTACAGGGGTAACTGCAAAATCATGTTCATTTATAATTTTATTAAACTTAATTTAAAAGTATGAAGAACTTTCCTTGTCCATAAAAATAATATATAGATCGACATTACTAGCATATAAAGGACAACATACTAAACATATTGAGGAAATACAATTTTCTCTTCTAACATGTACCGCTTAACTTAAACAATCGACATTACCGCAGCAAAGAACTATAGCAGTCTATTGTAATCGTATGAAGACGAAGGCATTTTGCTGTTGTTATTTTGTTGCATTCACAGATAATTTAAACATTAAAAATAGCATTTTGATGTCGAGAAAGAACCAAACTTACTTATGACTGTCTAAAATAGTTATTGATGTTACGAATAGTAAACATTACATTTTATTTTGCGAGAAAGATGTTGCGAAACGAGACCGACAGGCCGAGTAGCGCAATCCTTCGAGAAATATAAAACCACTTTAACCATGTGTGTCATACAAATTTTTTAGTCATTTTCTTACTGAGTTCCATTTTATTTTAATGCAAATATCACTAATTGGGTACCACGATTTTTACAATGAAACACTAGATTTAATGGATTCACCATGAATGATAAGTAGTAATAGAATACATTTTGAAGGGTTTAATAGATACACCTAAATGTCTCGACTCTCACAGCAGACACTTGCTTGGTGCTGTACACTCATGGCTTTTGAGAAATGTCCGCACAAGTACCTCGTCAGGCGATCTTTATTATGACAGCCATCGTCCCATTACGATTGCTAACAGTTCAGAACAATACTTAAATGCTACAAGTCAAGGATTTTGTGTTTATTATTTACTACATTAGCGAATAAAGCACTAAAAATATCTCTGGCGGAAATACAAAGGGGTAGTCAATTGGACATGTTAAAATGTATACCAGAAGTAGGCGTTGGGCATAGCGATACATGTATTTCACACAATGAAGCTGCACACAGTTTGAGAAATGGGGAGCGAGGGGAAGGAGGTGGGGTAAGCTTTCGGAACTACTTGCGTAATCTGACATCATCTTGTATTGTAGGTTTAAGAACAGTTGTACGCCATCAGACGGAAGTATTTTGTTTCTTTCTGAACACTTGAGCGTCGTATCACTATTATTTGTACAAATATATCAAATTCATAATCAAAAACCTCAAATATAGTAATTTTTGTTGCATTCTTCCATATTTTTCCAAACGTCATCCGCCATTATGCATTTTGCATTTTTGATGTCATATTCGTAATTAGTATGCATGAAAACCCCAATATACTCAGTTTTGTAGCATTCTTTCACGTTTTTCCAAATTTCATCCACCATTTTGAATCCGCCATTTAGAATGTTTCATTTTTGATGTCATATTCGTATTTAGTGAGATCGGAAAACCCAATATACCCATTATTTTGAATTTTGGAAGAGATATTGAATTTTAACCACGTTTTAGACATTTCATCCCATTGTGCGAATTGTCAAACAAAAACCAGAGACCTTGTAAAACCGTTTTAATACTGAGGTTAAAATCATTTATTTTATTTAATTTATTGCTGGAACTGTAACCGAATGGAACGATTTTAGTTTCGATTTTTAAATAATCATTACTTTCTTCCAATTTGTTTGTTGAGAAGCATCGGTTTGCATTTGAGATGAGTTTCACCGTGTAAATTTTATTTACACGAGTTCCTTGTGGAAATTAAAATTATTAACATTTAATTGTACAACGATTGTTATGATAACTCACACATATGCTTAAAATAACTAAAATTTGTTCTAAATTCCGATTCAAGAGGAGCACTCGTCATCACGACAGCCACACCACACTGATAGTTAATCCACGATACGTTCTGTAATGAAATGGTAGGAAAATCAATGGAAACGTATCAAAACCTAAACGGAAACGTTTTGGTATCAAAAACTGAAACTTAAATATCAGAGAAAGTTTCCCGGCTGGTGGGCCGTGGTTCAACTGGTCCAAGGCCCATCAGTACTTTCTTTGATATTGATTCCGACCGTGAAACCTACGATACTATATGAACCTCAAATATTTTATTTTCGTAATACTGAGCTATTATATCGACTTACCGCAATCAATGAAAGGAAGAAAGGGCCACCCTCAAAGATCGCCGTCTATTAAAAATAATCGAAAAAATTAATTGTATTTTATTTATTCCAGTGAGAGAGGGAGCTAACCCACAAACTTCAAAATATCGATTTATGAACGTATTCGATTATGAACCATTGAATATGTAAATAAATCGATGTTTTGAATTTTGAGAGTTATCTCCCTCTCTCACTGGATGCCTCAATTGTAGATAAAAATGGCGTATGATAACACTTATTCCAAGATTAGTATTCTATTTATTATACGCGCGGTAAAAGTGATATTTTATTTTGTTAGAAGGAAAGGTTGCGAAACCGAGTGGCGCCATCCTGCAAGCAAAATAAAATCACTTTTACTACTTATAGTAGATGATGCAAATGAAAGTATTTGGTTTTCTATGATGCTTACATATATACTATATCTGAACACTTTATCATCGTCCATATTTTAGCATTAATGAATTGAACTTTCAGCACACTCTCCTTGCCCTGAAAGAACCGCTTTTATTAATGTTTGTTTAAAAGGAGTATTTCTTCATTTTTCTTAAAAGATGATATTTATTAGTATTGAAAAACAGTGTAGATATTGCAAATAGCACACGTGGTTAGTTATTTTCTCTTTTGCACTTATCGATATTAATTACTATTCAGTGAAACTGGAGCGTTATTTGAAATTGTTCGATGCCTTGCTTTTCACATCTACAAACGTATTTGTTTTCTTCCAAAGGCTACCTGCGATGCTGCCCTAACTCTCTCTCCGCAAGCGTGGTTTCAAGAACTTGTGGACCAGGCAAACTCACTGAGGCAACAAATTGACACTACGATCGCAAACATTGAAGAAAACGTTGTCAACAACACGGATGCGATTGTCACAAAGATCCACGACGATATCCAGACTGTTACCGATAAAGTGAGGTCCGATGTGGAATCGGTGGTCGCCAAGTTCGTCGCAGCTGGCAAGAACGTCGTCGAGTGTTCTGTGAAAGTTCCCTCGGAGATCGAGGAACTCGTTACTAACATCACTACAAGCGCCACGAATTGCGTCACTACGGAAGTTAAGGTAAGTCAGATTATTTTATGTATCCGGGTGCAGACCATAATTATCATATGTAAATGGATGTTGGTTTCTTCGAGTCGATAAACGTTTTACGATTATTACATTTTTCATCCTGAAATAGTTCTTCCTAATGATGAGGATGAGCATTCAATATTTTTGATTTCCAGGTTATATTACACCAAACCATTAAAGTTATACCTTTGTTAATACTATTCAAGGTGGTCAGTTATTACCTCTATACATACATACTTCTGATATAAAAAATGCATATGAGAAATATTCAGATATCTTTTAAAGCTTTCTGTAATTTATACGATTATTTTTCTAATTGTGTAATAGTGCGCGATCATCTCAACCCATTGCCTTAGTCATCCTAATTAAACTCCTTAAGGTTAATCTAACCCCGTATGATTTTGAAAATCACCGGCATTATTGCGAGTAAGAGGATGCCAAATTAAAAGAGCGGAAGTACCGCCAGAGAGAGGGGATGGGTACAAGGGAGGGTGTGTGTCATAATGGCAATGCCTCTAGTCCAACATTGTGTTTCTAAATTTACTGAATTTATTCTAAAGAATTCCCACACATTGATCTCAATACATTTCAGGAGTATTCTCATAAAACAAAGGTCATTTCAAGAAAAAAATCTAGTGGTCCTACAACAGCAGATACTTTCTCGCAATATTTGTTTAAAAAATTCAACGTGCGCCCCGAAAATTATATCCTGACCGGTTGACGCTTCCAGAAACGCGAAACAATTGTCAAGCAAAACATAAGCACGAAATACTCGTGATTTTTAAATTGTTAATTACTATATTTAAACATTTATTTTTGAGGATAGATGTCATTTAGAAAAATCTCCATCGTCAATAGTCTACTTTTGTAATGTTAATGTTTTGTTGTTTTCGGAAGTCCAGAAAATTCGTCGAAAATGGAACCTGTGCCATTTTTAAGCGACATTAATCCGCCTTATATCTGAGTAAAAAGTTTAGGAACAATTTGGAGCCGATTAAAGAACAAAATTATAAATGACCTTTACATCCAGAAAAAAATATTCCAATTCGTCCACTTAATTTTCAAACGTATTTTATGAAGGAAAAGAATATCTTATCAATACTGACGTTTTGAAATTATAATTTTTTACAATGAACGAAAATTCAGAGAGTTTGCTAAAAATGCTATCTACGTCATTTTTATAAGTGAACTTTGCGATATTACAGACAAAAAATAAAGAAAAAAAGTGAGCCGTTTTGAGAAAAGTTGGCCTAAATTTTACGGAAAATTACCTGAAAACTACTCATATTTTCAAAAAATTGTACATGACTTTATTTAAAAATCTTTCTTTTAAAATTGTAATTGCGGAAAGACGCTGGAAAAAGTTGTAATCTTTGCAATTTTCGAAAATTCGGAGAGTTCAACGAAAATCTGACCTGAACCAGTTCTTAAGCGTACTTTCTCTAGCGAGGAAACATTTAATTACAACTCTAGCCGAGCCATTTTGTAGAGTATTTATAAAATGTTGTTAAGTTTTAATTACTCCAAAGAACGGAAAAAATGTACTTATCTATTTCAAATTGTCAGAGCTGCGAGTTCGTCCAGGTCGATCTAGGAATATCAATTTTGAATAAAATTGTTAGAACGATCGATGAATTTTTAATAACTTCTTTCCGCAACAACGTTGCAATCTATCTATCTATGCAATCCATCTACTATGTAAGTATGTATTATGGCGAAAAGTAATTAACGGTGCTAAAGAGCACATACTTTCTCGCATATTCAGCAACGTTTGCAATTTTGGAAAATTCAGAGTTCAAAGAAAAGAGACCTGTGCTATTTTTAAGCATCCTTTGCTCTATCCGTGAAAACAATTGAAGCTGTTTTTGAGGCAATGTTTTTATGTAACTTGCATTAATTTCGAACAGAAATTACGCGAAAATTATTGTTGTTTTTTTAAGTACATTACCATTTTTTAAGATCTGATTTTAGAACAGATTTCATTGAAGATAAAAATATCTATCTTCAATATTGTTCTTTTGTAATAGTAATTTTTTGAAATTTTTGAAAATAGTAAGTTCTCCGAAAATTGAATCACTTTATCATCCTGTGTCAAGGAGCAAAATTAAAGAAAAAAATTGAAGCCATTTTTTAAAAACTGCCTATATTTCACGCAAAATTATGCAAAAACTGCTCACATTTTCGAAAACATTGTACATGATCTTATTTCAAAACTTTTAATTGAATTATATTTATTTATATAAAATCCCTGTCTTCACTTTTGAAGACGCCAAACAATTTAATTGTTTGCATTTTTCGAAAAATTTTGGAAATTTTGAGGATTGCAAAGAAAATGCAATCTACGGCACTCTTTAAAGCGTTCTTTACGCTATCCGTAAACAAAGTTTAATAAGTGAAACTTTGAGCCATTTTTGAAAACATTTAAAAAATGTGATTTAATGCAAAGTACTCTCAAAAATACAAATATTCGTTTCAAACTTGCAGGGCCTTAAGTTCTACAGATAGATTCTTACAAATTGATTATATCAATTGTGGAGAAAACTACATGTACGATTTACGCGCTAGCGATGACCCCCGTCAGACGTTTTGTCGCCAAAGATTTTTCGGCATCAAGGTCCCATAAAGCATTAATTCTGACTACAAAACATTTTAGAGGATGTCATATACTACACGTAACATATATTTAATCCACGTTTTCGTTAACAGATCCAAACAAAAAAAATCTGTCAAAATATCGCCGTTTTCCGGCGCACGATTACAATACTTTCTCTTCTTACGAAGTAAGGCGAGAAAGTAAACATTATACTGTGAAAGTGTGAGTTCTCACGAAAATTATTAGGAATTCCGAATGGATATTGCCCCCTTCCATCATGAAACACTATCTTGATCCACGCATGTCGGAGTGTGCAGAGGAGAGATGTCATTTTGTGTCATTTTGGCAGGATGGCGAGAGTCTCATCACCGATCTCCGCAACGCCGGCGAGCAAATCAACTCCACCATCAATGACGTGCAGCCCAAAGTGGCCGAGTGCAACAAGCATGTCTTGACCGCCGTCGCCTGCGATGTCGATGTCTTGTCCTCTGCAGCGGGCACCATCTCGTCTAACTCCCTCAAGATCTTCAGCGACGGCGCGAAGGCAGCTGCTCTCATTGCCGGCTTCCCGATGAACGTCAACACGTGCGAGGCCGCCGTCTTCGCGAGTGTGCCCGCTCAGGAGCAGGCATTGCTCAGCAAAGTTGCTAGCTGCTACACCGGCCAGTAAAGCGTTCGTTGCTCTTTGCAGTATTCGCATTGTGAGATTTCGCCCGTCCAGTTTCCCTACCTGAATGAGCTAACCCGTACCAGTTAATACCAGTCGTCTTTTACATTCTGGGTGATCAAAAAATGTAAGTTAAATTTGTCGGAATGAACTTATTGGATATTGTGTACTGAATATTAAACATCTCAAACGAAACTTTTTTTTCTTATCGTCGTCCTTCCATCTTCAATATTATAACTAATGATAATTTATTTTTATCATAATGTTTAATTGACTTTCATTTAATTTATTATATATTTATAATTATTTAATTATTATATTATAATTATAATTAGTAAATACTACTACAGGAACAACAACATAAACAAATATACAGTATGTATTATGTGCATAACAGTTATAAATTCTTATAAAATATTGTTATAAAGGTAAGAATTTCAAAAAGTTTTCAATAAAAATTATGGCATCATTAATGCCTTAAATGTAGTACATGTCATATTTTGCGATGTGACGGTGGATATGGACGTTTACCAGATCGAAAATTATCTTAGATCCAAGGTACACATGTGTCGAAGGTACAACACCTCCCCCTACTATCTTGAATAATATATAGTTGGTGAAAACGAGATAAGAAACAGAAAGTTACAATCACATATAAAGTAAAAATACTGTTGGTATCAAGGGCGGATCCAGCCGATCATATTGGAGGGGGCCATCTTATATTATTGTTACATAAATATTTGTTATTAAAATATATTATTTTTGTAGTGTATAATGTTACTAAACAATATTATTTTTCAAATAATAACAGAATTCTAATAAATAATTGAAATAAATAAATATTTAAATCAATTTTACCAAATGAAGGAAACAAATGAAATCTCTAGGCTTTTTGGGGGATTTGGGGCATGCCCCCTGTATCAGACACTGATTGGTAGTACACCAGTAAAACATGAGTACATAAGACACATTTACATACCCAGTAATAAAATAAAGCAAAATTACCAACATTTCCATTAAAACCCATTTTAATTCAGAATATCGCGTGGAGACATGCAGCGAGAGGTGGTGATCCCTCAGGTCATTCACCTTCACTGCTGTAGCAGTGTATGTAAATAGACGCCTGTAGCGTCCGCACTCCTGAGTGGTGCACCTTCCGCCCTTATTCAACGATGCTGCCCAATCTGCAAGTCACTCACTACACTACCACACGTCGGGAGACCAATCGGGGGCTTAGAACTGATCCCGGCCGGGGCAGTGCCCTGCTGGGGAAAGATACCTGGAGTGGGAAATATCGTTGCAACCAGACGTGTAGGTCGGGGTTGCCTTTTTCCGTAATGAAACCTCAATAACGAGACTAATGCCCATAGCAGTTGACGTTCCCGTCAATCAATGCATCATTGAAACATTTTTCGCGAGGAAGTCGCATTCGCCGCATGTGTTGTGTTTATAACAAAGTCATTTATCCCTTGGGTCTGATACCGTATCTGCTGTCGTGTAGACCAAGCAAAAATTCGCCTTCCCGTTGGAATATATTTTTAGAAGCAATGAACATCCTCTCTGTGGGCAAAGAAGAAGATCTTTGAAATTCGAAATATTTTTTTTCTCCTTATTTTGTGTCGTATCAACGACTAAAGTTATTAGCGACTACATTTTTTATTACAAATGTTTACAGACAATTAAGGCTTCATCCGACATTACATTAACATAAATATCAGAATGTATAGGTCATAACATAATACAGTATCACATATTATTTATCTTACGTACCATCATCATACAGTATAATCAGAACATGGTCATAACATATCTTTTCGAGGGTTACACATCATTACATTAATATAATCATCCTAACATATAGATTATACATACTATTATTTATCTTACATACTCGTAACATAATGTGACGTCAAGGATACTCACAGCGACCACAGACACAGAGCTTTCATATAACAAATATATTTATTAACTATTAACAGAAAACAAAACACAAATATATACTACACTTAATAATCACTTACACCCTAAGCTTGCATAGAACCTACTATCCCCTGATCGCGGAAAACGATCCACAACCAGATTGAAGATGGTTTTTGATTGCTGGCATTCGCCAACTTCCTAGCTTTTGAAGCGCGCAACAAAGCCTAGCTTCCGGTGACGGATTGTCACACGCTGGGCACAAAGTCCGTTCTGGGCAAGGGCTGTTCCTGCCCGACCTCCCTCACCGGCCCTGCCTCCCCTCGCTCTCCCCCTCCCGCCCCCCCCCCGCCTCTCCCCCCCCCTCCACCTCCTCCCCTCGCCCCTCATCGCAGGAGCGATCTTATCCGATTGAGAAATCGGCGTGAATTCGTGGCACTCAACCACTCTTCACCTCGAAGCACGCCAACACAGCATCGCTCGCCGCCCGTGACCGCAGTCCACCCAAGGACCTAAAGTCCGCAGGCTTTCGTCAACTAGTGAACTTCGACCCTCGCGAGCTTGGCTCGCGTATGCACCGTCGTGGCGCCAGAGATTTGTGCACACGCACGAGGTTCTCTCACTGTCTCCGAACCCACCTACTGGCTCTGTACACTGTTTATATAGGATGAGGGCCCACGGTGACCTTCTACGTCACGTCACCCGCCCTCGCTGTTTATAACAAGTAAAAGTTTCTATAAAGCCGAAGACGTCCAAAGCCTGTGTCTCCGTTTTCCGCGCTCTTGCCTTTAAACGGAAAAACCTTCTTCGCTGTGGCGAGGCTTAATCCTCTACCAAGCGTCCCCAAATAGATGCCACGAGCAACGCTGGCTATACGTGTTACATATATCTCCATATCCATTTAGAATATTTTTTAATGCGGAGACATGCCACAATAAAAAAGAATTCGTCACTGCGAATTAAACTCGTGAACTTGGCAGAAGTTTTACTTTAACCTGTCCTATGTTTTAAACATTCTAACGCAAAACTCCAGCTCAGTTTTCTACATATTATCATATAACTACATTTAATATACAAAAACTAAAATTCCCAAAAACTCTAGTTTTTACCTAACTACATAAAATGTTCAACATTTTAAAAATCTGCCTTACCTATTTAAATTATATACAAATTTTATCTCCCAACAATTAATTAATTAACAACTCGTCAAGTGACATTCACAACAAACGTATTTTACAACAGAGCTCTGACTTTCTATGCTATCAGAGCCTTCAACTAGACCGCGCTGAAATTATTGTAACATAACAACAAAATCAACAAAATTCACTTAAACAATACACTTTTCAAAAACACCTTGTTACATGATATACAATAATTTCCTTTAGATTCGATACAATACAATCAAGTGATCCAACTCAGTGTAGCCCCTCCGCATTCCTCAGTTACAGTTCAGGTTCCAGTGTATCAATGAAAACATCCTGCTTAGGCATCTGCATTGACGTTAATTTTCCCTTTCTGTGAATAAATTCAAGATTGTAGGCCTGAATTAAAAGTGACCATCGCATTAATCAGGATTTTTACTTAGATGCAATTGTTCAACCATACCAATGGATTTGTGGTCAGTTTCTACCTTGATTTTGGCGTTTCCGTCTAAGTAATATTTTAACTTCTGCAAATGCCAGATATATTGCCGTACACCTAACTCGATCGTACAATGGCGCGAATAACTTCAAGTATCAGTGAATTTTCGACTTAAGTATTAACACACCGGTTTTTCCTCTTACCCCTGTCGTTATAATGTGCCAAAAATGGATGCCGATTCCCCTGCTTTTATTGACGCATTACAACTGCAGCGATAAAGTCTTTGATTAAAATTTGGGACGCTTGAAGGACGGGTTCGTGACATAGAGGTTTCTCAATTTCTCAAATGCCACCTTTCGCATTCCTGGCGACGCATTTCCTCAAGCCCTGCGTTCGCGACCTCGCAATAAGTCCGTTAATGGTGCTGAGATACTCGCATAATGCAGGAATAAATTCCTGTAATACCCCGTCAGCCGAGGAAAAGCCCGTACTTGTTTTTTTGTTTGTGGTAAGGATGCTCCTTAATTGTTTTCACCTTGGCCTCTACTGGCCGCAAAATCCCAATACCAACCTGTACCGCCAGGTATTGCAGCATTTCTTCCGTGCATTATTTACATTGCTCGGCTGCACCTGCAACTTCGGCTTTCTTCTAATATTAGCAACACCTTCTCCAAAATGTCTAAGGTGTTCTTGGCCCTGTTGTCGCTAATAGATGAATTGAATAGAAATGAATTTGTTTACCCTCACGAATTCGGGAAGAGGCCCGCACGTATCGATATTGATTTTTTTCCAAAGACTTCCGTTATCGGCGGTACTAACACTAACGGTGCGGTTTTTTCGAGATCATTTGCCGGCCTAACCTTTTGACACACATCGGCAAAGATTTCACATAAGTCTCCCATATCCTGGAAACAACGGGGCCAATAAAAATATCGCGACAAACTGGCTTTGCTTTTAGTGCACCCTAAGTCAGCATTCGCGGTTTCATGCCACACTTTCCCAATGGCTGCCCGATATTTAGTAGGAACCACTAACATATTAAAATTTTCACCGCGCTTGCTGTGTTCTGGACGCGATACAAAATACTGTTTTTAATAAAATTAACACATCTCGCCCTGTTTTCTGGTTCACAGTGCTCATACGTGTCATATAATACTTTAATCTCCCTGTCACTTTGTTGTGAAGCGCGGCGCCCCCCAACTCAATTTCTGGCTAACATTTAATGAGTTCATTCACTTGG